GTTTTTTTGTGGTTTGCCCATCACGATGTTGTTAAAACACTCGTCCACATAACTCTCCAGACTGTCCAAGGTTTCCTCGTCCAGTTTGGTTTATTGAAACAATATGCAGAGGTTATTATTAACAATATTTTTTATGCTTGATTGTAATATATTGGCTTGTTTTACCCGAGTCAAATCATTTTGTTTAGCAGTATCCTGCCATGTTACTTACGTAGCACAGCTCTCACGTGATCTCAGCAGCTCATCACCAGGTGCACCCCGATTGCTCAACACGGTCCCTCCGCTCCACAAATCAATCTAATCTGTTTAATTTACCAGAAACTTCAAAATAAATTCTCACCCTCTACTGAAACCTGTTTCAGAGTCTTACCACCAGCATTACTGCCACCAGCTGGTAAGGTGTGTGACGTCAATTTGAACCCCGCCCACTGGAATCGGTATTGAAAGGGGCTATGGAAACACAAAATGTACGGTACCGAGTTGAACCGTGCTGTACCAGTACTAAGAGGTACTATGGAAAAGGGGCATATGAGGTAACCCTAATTCTGCACTCAGGTGGGAACCAGTAAGAATCCAGATCTGACAGTAGAATCAAGAAGGTACCTTAATCTCTGGTTCTGTCTTCAGGTGCTGCAAACCAACGTGCTCGAGCTCCAGCTGGTAAGTCAAAGCCAGAACTTTGATATCTGTGGCTGACAAACTGGGATAATCTCCGGTCTTCTTGGAGAACTCAGTTACTAAGGATATGAAAAAATGAACAAAAACATCAAGAAAGTTAGGTGACCAGAAAATATTGATCTGTTGGACGTAATTTACACACACAAGTTCATATAGGTTGAGGCACAGTGTCTGTGTTCAGGTTTAGGCACAGTGTCTGATGTGTTCAGGGTCAGATACAGTGTCTGACGTGTTAAAGTTCAGATACAGTGTCTGACGTGTTCAGGTTCAGATACAGTGTCTGACGTGTTCAGGTTCAGATACAGTGTCTGACGTGTTCAGGTTCAGGTACAGTGTCTGACATGTTCAGGTTCAGGTACAGTGTCTGACGTGTTCAGGTTCAGGTACAGTGTCTGACGTGTTCAGGTTCAGGCACAGTGTCTGACGTGTTCAGGTTCAGTCACAGTGTTTGATGTGTTCAGGTTCAGTCACAGTGTCTGATGTGTTCAGGTTCAGGCACAGTGTCTGATGTGTTCAGGTTCAGGTACAGTGTCTGATGTGTTCAGGTTCAGTGTCTGATGTGTTCAGGTTCAGGTATAATGTCTGATGTGTTCAGGTTCAGGCACAGTGTCTGATGTGTTCAGGTT